ACCTAAATCAAATAAATCCAAAATCAATAACCAACATTCTTAGCCAGTGAAATGTGTAAAAACAATTTCACATTTAAATTTAATTCAACGATACAGACACTCTTCAAATGATGATTTACCCCGTTTTATCGACAGCATGACATTTAAGATACGACTTACAATCGAGTACAAACCAAGTAAATTCTATTCTAATTACAGCTCCAGGGTATAGCTCAAGGAGCACGTACGAGTAATAGACAGTGCTACCGTATGTTTTCACTACAGAAACATGTATAGAAAAACAAAATGTCATCTTAGTCATTCTTTATAAAAAAAAAGAGATAGTTTTTGGACTATAAATCAGTAGATGAAACACGAAATTTTATTCAGTGAAAATGAAAAATTAAAATAACGCGCGTCAACGGCAGTCAATTTTATTTGTTGTCTATGGATTTATTTTGGAAAGTTTTTTTTTTTTAATACATAATACAAACACGTATATTTATAATGAGTCTGTGGTTATAGCCGTATCTAGGTAGAAGTGTATCCTTTAGTTTGTTATAGTCTCATTAGAATTAATTTCGACTATAGTTCATATTCCCTACCAAACTACATGTGTCGGCAGAATCAACTTCCCATTATACCTTTGACACACCTTTAACTAAACTATAGCACAACTGTTGTTCGATTGTCGATTGTTTTTCAGCCAATTCAACTGTTTAGTTGCACAACTAAAAATAGAGTTGTGCGCGCAGCTCCAAATATGCTCACATGAAAGCGAGACTAAACAGTTTTGCGATAATTTAGTTTCAGGTGTGCGCTGATTAAGTCAATAAAAAACAAAGGAATTGCCCATTCGCAATAATACCGTTTTTACTTCAATGCGTGTCGATAATTAGTTTAATGTCTTCATTTTCGCCATTTTCAGTACCTCACTAATTGTACACGACCTGGTAACATTTTCAATAGCGACGACAGAACTTTAAAACATTTCGTTAATTGGAATCGCACTGGCCTTTACAGCTTTTTTATGTAAAAAAATATGAAGATATATTATTAGCGGCTACAACTGAAGAAATACGTTAATAAAGCAGTTAATATTTAATTAGTATTGATCACTTTACTTTTTTCCAATTTCCGTGAAATGTAGGTAAGGCGAGATTTATTGCAACACAGGTTGACGCGATCGTTAAAACACTACAGCAGGGTTAGACAGTAAAAAACATGAACGAAACGAAAGCGATTATCGTTCGATTGTGATTGGTTGAGACAATGACGTCTGACGTCACGCGTTACGTTCACGTCGTTTTTTGTTTTTTTACTGTCTAACCCCTCAGCTCTATAGAAGTTGTGAAGAAGTGTATTCTAAACTTCATGTAAAATATGTTTTTGAGGTCCAGTTCTAGTTCTGTATCTTTTGTCATCCCTGTTCAATATAAAGATGGTGATACACGGCATTTGGCGGTGTAAGAAATGCAAATAATGTATTTACGTGTGGTACGACATACAGACCTTAATAATATACTGACAAGGAATAAAATGTATTATGTTTTATACATAAATGCAATTTAATTCTAGCATAATAATATAAGAGGTCTGGAAATCATAAAAGTGGAAGTCCTTAGATTACAATATACAGTAGGCAAGACGTTAAGAATGCAATTACATACATCATTATGTATTTGAATAAATGTATTATTAAAACTGACGGAGTCAAGTTCATAAACAAGTTGATTAATTAATTACAAAGTTGTATGAAAATAGCCAAGGGTTGTGTTAAGATTTCTAATCGAACTATAAACAATAGAATAGCGCCATCTATTGACGCTTTACTAATTTGTTAGTGTCAACTTATACGAACAGCGTCTATGATGCTGACTAACGTTATTGCTGTATATATAGATGGCGCTGTTGTTACTTGGTAGAAATACGCGCAATAACGCCTGTTATCTATGAACAAGCAAACTTTAGACTTTGATTTTTAACAGTCAATTTTCTGAAGGCGTTAATGCACTTAACTAGAACTTTAATTGCATATCCTCTTATTATCTTATTATAATAATTTTCATTATTGATTCTATAACAAATAATTTATCTAAAAGATCTATGATCGATTTTATATAGTTAATGAAACATTCTACTGTTTACTTTTAAATTACAAGAATTATTCTTACCATATAGTAACAAGTCAAAAACGTATTTATATTTTATTCATAGAGTACCTTAGCACCTATTAGTTTCCAATTATCACCTAATATCAAGGTTACTTTTTAGCCAACTGACCGTGTGAATTCACCTCCAAGTTTTTGCTCTACTTTCGATGTGACTGTACTAATTTTAGCGTATTTACGTGTTTGTAACAAATTAGTTCATGGTAGTTTATTAGGTTTATTGCTTAATTGAAAATAGCTCATAGATAGTTTTCATTATCTTTGCATACAAATTTTGTTCTAGTCCAGATTTATTAAAGCCTTTTGTCATTATAAAAATAATGCATTTCTGTGTCTTTGATTTTGAGGTTGTTATTTATACATTTCATTGATGTTAACAATATATAGAATTTAGTAAAGTACAGTAAACAAAAAAATAGTTTGTTGTAGCACATATTCTTGTACGAGACACCCTTTTTAAATGAATCTAGTTATGTAACTGTAACAATTCTATCGAAGCTTGACGGCCTAGTATACGTGACTATTCTTTGTTTATTTTCCTTGGCCGAGTATCAATTGTAATGAACTCATTTTTTACCTCGGAATTCTTGGATTCTATGTACTTTATTTCCATTCTTAATATCGAATTCTTAGCTGAATTTCTTTAGCTTCTAAAATGTAAGTAATAGGAATTATATCATTGCAAGTTCTGAGTATGTTATTACTGTAATAAAATAAAGTATTTACTAAGAATTTTATGTCTATATTAAATAATACGGTTAGATATGGTTACAATACAAACAAAAGAACCAATATGTTTTAATTTATTCTCGATTAATACTTCAAATTAGATTGATCAAGTGGCATACAAATTTATTGTACAATGATTGTAATTACTTCTAACATTGTGATGTAACGAACATAAAGAGAGAAATCTATGTTGGTAATTGTAAGTTAATTATTGTTACTAATAATCGTCATGATCAGTAAGATAGAACATTTTGCAAATGTACCTTTGATTTGTATAGTCATTTATATATTATATAATTGTTTATACTTAGATGCAAGTTAACTGTGCAAATGCGAAGAGAATTTAAGACAAATGCATTACTAGATGGTAAGTCAGATGACTAAGTAAAGGTAGAGGAAGACCGAAGAAAGTATGGATGGATTGTGTGAAAGAGGATATGCTTAAGAAAAGAGTGGATTCAGATATGACGGCTGATAAAGATGTATGAGAGACCAGCACATACTTTGCCGACCCTCCGTATGGGATAACGACAAGTGGATAATGATGAAGTCCGATGACTAAGTACTCATTAAAATGATGTTGTTTGAAGGTTGATGGATTGAAGTCGATTAGGAATTTAATAAGAAATACTAATATAATCTAAAATAAGTTAGTATATACTTCAATAGCTATAAATACTACGTTTATGTAAGTTGTTTGCTGTTTAATAGTCTCTTTCGTAAGTCATCCTACAGTCAGTGGTAAAAGTAGATTATTTAGAAATACAAGTTTCAAACTATAACTAACCCATGCTATGACAAAATAAACTAACATGATGTTACATATTTAAACCGCGAAGCGACCTCTGTCCATAGACATCCACGAAAGCAGATGCGAAGCAAATGCAGATTAAAAAATCGACAGAGGAAATGGTGCACGGAAAGAAAATTATTCTCCTTCCTATGCTTTCTCGTTCAAATCACTTCCCTTCGGATCCCCCTTTTGAGCAAATGTTAAGAAGGGAAAGGGGACTAAAATGAGCCTTCCGAACGAATGTTAGAGAATAGAGAGACTGAATAGAGTATTCAGCTACTATTAGGGAACGACAAAATCGTAACTTTAAAAAATGATGCGATTTATGAAAAGAAGCGAATTTTATTTCGTCTATATAATAGTTTACAAAGATAAATATTCGCTTATGTCAAACAATATCTGCACACAATTTCCGAAGAGAGGAAATTTCTGGCTGGATAATTATTGCAACTTTACTTTTGTAACATGACTGCGAACGTAATTTAAAATACAACAGAGGCTTTTATACTATTGTTAAAATTTCATGATGTTTAATAAAAAGTTATTGCCTTTTAAGTATTTAAGTAATATATTTACGTAACATATGAAACAATAAACGTTTTTCAGATCAGTGTACATTTTTAATTATAACAAGTGCTGTAGATATTTAAATAGAATTTACTATGAAATAGATTTAATTTTTAAATCAACTTAACTATATGTCAATAAATTAAAAACTAGCGGGGTAAATTTATGCTAATACTAATTATTTATGTAATTTTTCTATGGCCTAGTCACCCCTTATTAGAGTAGGCTCCGAGCCCCTCGGCGGGGACATATAGTGAGCTGGTGATGATGATGATGATGAGGGTAAATTTAAGTATGTCAAATCTAACATAAACTAAATATTAACATAGAATTTGTTTTCAAATGATATAGAAGGCGAGTCCCACTTCCATTATAAATACCGACTCCAAACAAAAAAGCAAAGAGAAAAACTGTAATCCGTTTTTGTAAAATTGAACAAAAAATTTGCGACGAATCATCAAACTAAGGTTCTCTAACAATTAAATCTACTGAACACGAGGTTGTTTTAGTTTATTACACGACCTTATTTTTCTAAGTAATGCCATATTATTAGCGTAATCTTTGTCGATTTTAAGATTAAAAATATTAAAAAACAATAGAACTAAATTTCCTGATAGTACATTTTCTGCAGGCGCTACACTCTAACATGGGAGTTAAACCGAAGCAAAGAGGATCATGTTTACAAATAGGCGTATACTAAGAGGTGGTGTAACTGAGAAATATTTCATATAAATAGTGTGCGGTTTATTTTGAGAGGCACAGTGTCAGTTCGGCTCCTGTCAGTCGCTGAAGAGGACGAAAGTGACCTACTGTGATAACAACACAATGCGTGCATTCCAAGTAAGTAAACATATCAAAAATAACTGTAATCGGTGAATAACTATCACATTAATTGATGACTAAGGGTGCCCCATAGTGTAGATTTAGGAAGTGATATATTCACTTAAATACTACTTAAATAACCAGTAAACGACTCTGAGTGACTGATAGTTATCCGTTTAATATGTAACAATTAAATGATTTAATATTTTTGAGTTTAGAAATAGTTGCTTAAGTCTACCTTTAAGTAAACTATGACAAATACTTGAAGTTACGTACGCAATCTTACAAATTATACACTAGTTCGATTTTCCGCACCAATTTCATTCTTATTACCAGTCTAACGTCCTTATTTCTTGTACCGTATTATATAAATGAGAAGCTATTATAAGCTATGTTTGTAATGTGTAGATTTGTTCCCAGTCTTTGTTTATAATTTACATATCTTTAAAAACGTATTTAACCCTTTTCTCTTTCCTTTTTGATGAATTTTTAACTACATAAAAGTTCGAACTTGGTGAATTATAACATAATAGCTTTCGCCCGCACTCCGTCCAAATTGAATTAAAAAAAAAGCAAAAGCAGGTAGTCTGTGTGTTTTTCCAGACTATTCTCTACGTCTATGTTCAATTTCATCGAGATCTGTTTAGCAGTTTAAGCAACAAACTCTGACAAACATCCATGCATCTAAAGTTCACCATTTCTATTCCTAGCTGTTGCTCGCAACTTCGTCCGCGTGAAATAAAATTAAAAAAGCCTATCTTACTCACTGATAACATAGTTTTTATAATGATGAGTTATTTCAATTTATACAAAAATCCAAAAATACTTAACTTTCCTTTTTATAACATTATAATTGTAACCACTCTTATGTTTAAGGTTTTAGTAGTGATCGCGGTCTGCGCCGCTGTGAACGCGGGCTACATTGGCTACGCTGATGCAGGGTATGGCGGGCTACAAGGATACTCGGACGGGTACTCGGGGGGATATCAAGGAGCAGACGACGGGCATGCAGATTATTATGTAACTATTACATTGTTTATTTCGTATAAGTAACGTAAGCTTATCTTATGAATTTAAGCAATAGATGTTTCCGTAAACTAACTATGGGTTTTTTACCCATGTAACTCACAACTTACAAGAATATGTGAAAAGACACATTTGAGTCTAAGAATAGTAATTAGTAAAAGTAAATTATGTTAATTTGATTAAACTAAGAAATTTGAGTTCAAAATTTATATTTTCTTACATTGCAATTTTGCTATGAAATTTACTCAGGAACTAAAAATAAAACTATGATTTTTAGTTCCTGATTTTTTTTTTTAGATTTTTAGAGTTAGATTCGGCGATTATAATGGACAACAGATAAATTATTAGTAACCAATCGAAAACATTTTTTTAATTACTAGGATACGTTTGTTTATTTCTTTGCAACTAATTTAATTTTTGTCTACAGCTTTTATATATTATACCTTAGCAACTAAGCTTCGAAGCTTTAAGCTGGTTTTCAAGATATTCGTTTTTATTTCATACTTTATGTTTATTCGGCAATCGTTGATGTCTTTTGCTTACTCATACTTTCTTGCTACAAAAGATTTCAACGATTAATAACATTGCGTCGAAGTCAAGCGACATTGCAATAAAACAAGTTATTTATTATTAAAATTATGAAGCCTCTTACCTTATTTCATAAACGTAATTTTTGACGATTTGAATTTTATTGTTGATTTGTTTCTGGTTTCAGGCTTATCCCAAATATGCTTACGACTATTCCGTGAGTGATCCACATACTGGAGATCATAAATCACAATGGGAATCTCGCGATGGCGATGTTGTTAAAGGTAATTTAAATATGCAATATAGAACTCACACACTCCTCGCTTTCTTATGTTTTCATAAAGAAGACCCGTTATAATTAAGAACATGTTATACCTTTTTTTAAATTTTTAAGGTGCATATACACTAGCGGAACCAGATGGCACCACTCGTATCGTAGAGTATACCGCTGACAAACACAATGGATTCAATGCAGTCGTCAAGCGTATCGGACATGCTCAACACCCTCAGGTCTACAACACCCACAGTGATGGTGCTGGTTACTACGGATACCACTAGATGGAGCTGTTAATAAATACTGTGTAATAGTTGCATTTTAGATGGCGCTGTAAATCTCAATATGTACATACAGGTATCGCTAAAATAAAAAATTGTCGCAAGCATTGTACAATTATGCGACATTTATGGTCTGTAAATATTCCTGCCATCTGTTACCTATTTATTCTTTTCCTTAGCATGTAAGATTTCGACGGTAAAATTGTTACTGTTTGACCAAAACAAAATATACAATTTGTAACATGTATTTGATAGCGTTTTATTGCATCAAAAGAATGCGGTATTTGTTATTAATTTCCTTATGAAATTCATCAAATTTAATAGAAAGGCAATCGATCAAGTTACATCGAATTAGGTATTACTTATTAATTTTAAATGCAAGCAGTTAGCGTTAAAATTATTCAAACGAAACCAAGAGGCGGGGAAGTTTTCGTTGCAAGAAATAGCTTACAAATTGCCTCATTATTTATCTTGTCAACACTTATTACATTTCCTTAACGAAGAAAGTTTTTCTTTGTCGAGAAAAAATGATTAATTCGTCTGATTTAGTAATTTTATACATTACGTTGGTATACGGTTATTGTCTTTTCAAAGATTCATAATATAAACGGTACTTTAACAATATACAAGAGTTATCGGTATAATTTATCGGCCTATCTATTCCGTGTATATTGTTTCAGTTATCACGAAAAGTAATTAAAGTCAATCATTTTGAAGTTAATGTTATAAAAGTTAAAATTACATTTTACGGTGTTAACAGCTAGGTGTTTGCTACCTTTAAGATTAGAATATAGGTATTATTATATGTTCCTTATTAAAACATACACAAAAGCACTTGATTTAATTTGAAAAGCAACAATTATTTAACTAATCGATAGTCTATCTTATATTTTTCTTAGGTTTTTAACGTTCACATTATTTTGTCAAAAGAAACTACATTATATGTCAAAACACTAATAAATTTATTTTGTTTTTTTTTTAGTTATAATGTTAAACGGTTATCATTCACACTGTAGCTTTAGTATACTAATAACGAAGATGAGATATAGTTTTACTAATAAATAAAGTAATTCCCGCTCATTGAACATTATTCGTAATCATAGTGTGTGTATCATTCGCGCTGCTTTAGCCCGGGCGGTGCAAATGTGTGCGTTTATAAATAGGTAAGTGATGGTCGACACGTCGCGTCTTCACGTAGTCCCAACCTTGGAAATGGACAAGTTCACACTCATGTAATTTAAAAAAAATAAAAAAAAGTAAAAAATAGATCCGAATTATTTGTGGCAGTGAACGGCGTAGACTATCCAAAGTGCATGTCGGAGTTTATGGAAACGCAATGGCAAAACCGTTTGCTTTTTTGGTAAGTTGTACGAAATGAATTTTACAAGTTTTTATTTTATTTTATTCAAAAATATGGAAATTTATAACAAAGAAGAAAATAATTTATTTACCTTTAAAAATAATTCAGTAAAAATGATCAAGATTTGTTCAACACAAAGTTTCCTTTTTTTATAGTGACTTTTTTATTTATTTTTTAATTACTAGATAATTTGTATACAAAATATAAACGAAATAAAAACCCATTTTTTGAATTGGTTCCTGTCTTTTAGCAAGTTCTTCATTTACCTTTTAACTGCGTAAATAAATAAAAAAACTACTGCATAACCCACAGACTATTTAAATATAATGAGGAAGAAGTACCGTTCGCCGTACAACAATAATTACCTTATTAATAATTGTTCCGCGAAATTAACATGACTTTTTTCATTTAAGGTAATATTTATAAACTTAGCAACATTAAAAGGGGAAAATGCATTAATAATCAGCAATGACAATATAGAAAACCTCCGTAAAACTGACGTAAGTATATATTTTTATTAATTAAGTAGATATGGTAGTAATCCAGCCTTCATTTTTGAATAAAATTTGCTTTTGAATAAAAACAAATTGTGATAGTGAATTACGCTAAATATCACGTCATCAGATATCAGTAAATTAGGGAAGTTAAAAGAATTTAATTTCATCAGTACAGGGGACCTGCATCATTTCCCAACCTCCTGTCACTGATTTTATTACATATATATTTTTCTACGGGACATACAATTTAAGTGTTAACTATGGTATAAAATTCTTGTTTCTTAACTAAATGACAATTTTATATAACCAACGCTTATAACTTAGATCCAAGTATTCTAATCTATTTACGGATCTAAGATGAAAATTCGGTTTAAAAAACTATTTAATTTGATTTTAAATTAATTTCATTTGATCATATTGCAAAGCTAAAATTTTAGCCAAAATATAAATGTAAAGTACTTAGTTTCATTCTGTTTTATTTATACTAATCTGTACTAATATTATAAAGAGGATAGATTTGTATTTATGGAATTTTGTATATCTTGATATAACTCAAAAACTACTGGGCCTATTTGAAAAATTCTTCCACCACTTACGAGATACGTTATTAGTGGGTAAAGCTATATTTTCACGTGGACAAAGTCGCGAACAACAGCTAGTTTTCTAATAAAAATGAACGTAAAATTTTCTCCGGCGTACGGCACGCAATGTGTCAATGACGTACTTCGATTTAATTGTTTGGAACGCACTCGCACTTGTATCAGACGCTGACGAACACTTTCAATGGAATATTTTCTAATCTTATAACATTTCTCGTGTTTTATACACATGTATTATATATGTATTGTCTACATGCTTATTGTACATTAAAGAATGTATGCATCACATTTTTAGATAAATATTATAAAGATAAAATTCTGAATAGTGTCGTAACCTTTGTTAATCATCGATATTTTTTATTCAGATGACGTTAAAGAAGTTGTAGGTGTTTTCGATTTGAAATAGTTATCGTTATGCACAAATATTGAAAGCTATTACTCCAGTTATGAAACAAGTGATAAATGTACGAGTACTGGTGTTGTTCACCCACTTTTCTCCCGCCGAGCGGTCGCTTATTGCGTAGAAGTAAAAGTAATTTACGCACCGTATTAAATATAACTTATCGAGATTGTAGGTTATATTGCCAATCACAATACAATGAATGTTGTAATTTAGTACGACAAAAATGTAATTGAAGAACCAGTTAGATTAAGGGCCTGTCCCACTACTAGCTGATAGAGGCTCAGATAGCTTAAATATGACGTCACTGTCAGATAAGCGAACAAAATCCTATGAGGAAATATCTTACACGTTGGATTGCTATCAGACAATTTACAATTTGGTGGCCAAGGCCCTAAATCTTGTAAAAACACCAGTAACAGATAATATAGATCTACATGTATCTTATCTCGGAATATCTCTTTCACTACTAAAATTTTATTTCGATTATATATGTGTGACCCATATTTACCTTTTTACATCTTTTAAAACCTAAATTAAATGATTAATCTATTTAATAAATAACCTAACACGATAATTACTATTCAATAAATAATCTTGTTTAAGTAGCACTTAAGTTGCTAAGTGTTAGATACAAATGAAAGTGAGCGTACACCCGTCATTGACATTGTAAATCGCGATGCGTTCAAGTCATGCGTCGCCGCGTAGGCTGTCTTGAACTTGTAGCGCCGCGACCTATCGTTTTTTTGTTTTACTTAAAAATGACGAATGTTGTTTGCAAAGATTCAAAGTCAAAAAATAAAATAAATTGCATGAAATTGTTTTAAAAAATAGAAAAAACATACTGACGAATTGTGTACCTCCTTTTTTTGGTAAGTCGGTCAATAAAGTTGATACCCACATATACATGTACATACTTGATACAATTTGTACAAGTATTTGTTGAAGGATATTTTGTTGGTATTACACATAAGATAACAGCAGGTGCTTATTCCACATTGTCCATTCTGGTTATGTGACCGGTTTATATACACACCAATTGATGTCAACGCAATAGTGAGGTGACAGATTACATTTTATATGTAATACAGTAAAAGCTGTACATGAGGTTATTACGAATATGGTTTTATTTGACATGATTAATCTTACTCTTACTAATATTATAAATGCGAAAGTTTAGATGGAGTGATGGATGGATGTTTGTTAGAGTTTGTAGCCTAAACGGCTGAACGGATTTTGACGGAATTTGGTATAGATGTGGAGAATAGTCTGGAAGAACACATAGGTTACTCACTTTTGTTTTTTTTTTTAATTCCACGCGGACGGAGTCGCGGGCGAAAGCTAGTGTTTCATAAATTCTCTTTACATATCTCGATATGTTACATTTTTGTATACCAGATAAGAAACGAAATGAATAATCTTCTGTTTTATAGTTTATGTTAAAATTGAAAACATTTACTGATTTCATTACATCATACAAAGTGACAAGAAAAGTTATCACCTTTAATTTATTTGCATTCCAACGTCATGGAAATAATTAAATGACTCATTATGGATTCAGAATAATAAACTATAGGCGAGCATGCAACTCATTGTCTTAATGAGTAAAATATCGAATTTTCACACGCGATCATTTTTTTTATGCCCCGTGCGATTTTTTACTATAAAAAACGTAATTAAGGCGCAGTAAATAATTATGATTGAAGAGTACTTATTCCTATTTCTTTATTTTTTCAGGAAGGTCGAAACTATGCGTTTTCTTACGGAGTCGCAGACGAGCAGACTGGAGACATCAAAAATGTATGGGATTCTAAAGATGGAGATATCGTTAAAGGTGAATATTCATATTTTGAATTGACAACCTTACTATTGTAAATTCAAAAAAGATTTAATTACAGGCCAGTACAGCGTGCTAGATGCCGATGGATCTGTAAGGACTGTAGAGTACACGGCCAGTCCAGACGCTAGCGTTAACGCGGCTGCCAACAACGACGGAATCAAATCACAAAAGGAAAAACATGTCATGGAAGATAAATCTTACAGAGACTTTAACGGACCTTACGATCTCTCCGAAGATCCAAACTATGAATTCCATTACACAAAACATAGAAAGAACAAGGTACGCCCTTACGATCTTTTTAAAGATTTTCCAATGAAAAGACCTAGCCATACTCATTCTCAAGCAGATTCTGGCGAGTTCCGCTACAATCCGACACTAAAACACTATTACAACGGTGAACCATATAGAACCACAGGCTACGGCCATGATCCTGATTGCGATACTAAATATGCAACAGAAGGGAGTAATTATTTTAAAACTATAAGTGATTTAGATTTTCGTAGACAAAAATATCCCTTACTTTATTCGGATCCATATACGCAGGAAAAATATAAAGACATCCCTTATGATGATTCAGAGAAGTACCTGAGTTATAAGTACAGAGGTGAAAATAAATCACCGCGACCTGAAGAAATGAGTCTAGCGACATCGGTTAAATACAACTATCCTATGTTACCTGATATTCCAGTTTCTCAACATTTCTATCGAGATGATGTTGAGCAGAGACCTAAAAAGAAGCATAGACCTCCCAAACCAACTGATGTGTTTTATTCTAGTGAAAACTTTAACGATTATGTTATGGTACCGAAAAAGAAGTATAAAAAACCACCAAGGTTACCTGATATTAATGATTATTCAAACGATAACGATGAAGATTACGATCCTCTGGATGAAGAAGATGACAGAAAACGTAAACCCTTTCGAGGTTCCGGACAGAAGGAAGTCGTGAGAAAAATTATTAAAAAACCAAAACCGACGCTTATCACTTTACTAGACATATTAGATATTTAATATTTAAATACAAATTAAAATATAATTGTACATATTGGCGTTATTTTGTAGATTGAGTTTCTACAATTAATATTTTGTTGCAACACTTTATTATGACATTTTACAATGCATGCTGCTTCGAATACTGTCAAAAAAATTATCATGAATTAAATTAAAATAGACATTCAGTGTTTGTGTATGTTTTGTATATCTCTTACTTAATATTATAAATGCGAAAGTTTAGATGGATGAATGGATGTTTGTTAGCGTTTGTAGCCTTAACAACTACACGGATCTCGATGAAATTCGGCACTGATGTAGAGCACAGTCTGGAAAAACACATAGACTACTTTCTTTTGTTATTTTTATTTCACGCGGACGGAGTCGCGGGCGAAAGCTAGTTTTTATTAGATACATTAGATTGTAGAAAATGTTTACTATTTCCTTTGTGTGTAGTATTTTTTAGATTTCATATGTCAATTTTCAACAAAAAAATTTTTTCGTTAATATAAATTGTGGGTTACAGTTTTAGTTAAAGTGGTATTAAAGTGACGTCATAATTTTAACATAAAATACATACGATTGTGTAACTTTACAATGATAGTGAAAGTGTTCGAGGCTCGGAAACTGGAGCAAATGGGAGTGTCTGATACGAATTACAAGGACGTTTAAGTTATTTTTAAACAGAAACTTCAATTTCTGAACATTTCACAGTTTCATTCGAGCTCGTTCGTAACTGAGACTGTTATCTCATTAACCGATCTATTTGCAATATCTTGTAATTGACAGTTGAAAATGAGACAGTAAATTGATTTATTAAAACGCTAACCTTAGCGTACATTGATTAGAAACAAGTATGTGGTATCTTAACTAAAATTAACTTACGTTAATATATGCTTTTTGGATTGCGAAAAGTACAGTTAAGGCGTTTATCAACTGTCTTCTTTAAAACAATAGAGAAGCGTAGGTATATACTTGACCTTTCACTAAATAAACCATAAATATGTACACACAAAGATAATTCGAATTCAATTTAAATATTGAAACGCATATATTCTATGCCGACATAAAAAGAAAAACACTAAAAAAGAATGATAACAGTGATGTGAGGAAAAAATAACAGAAGTAGTAAATTCTAGATGTTGTACGCGACTTCGTCTGCGAGAAATTAAAAAAAAATTAAGAACATAGCCTATATTACCGATAACGTAGCATTTCAATGGTGAAAAAACCGAAATCGGCCTAATAGTTTCCGAGTTATTTCAATGCATACAAAAACATAAATTTTTCATCTTTATTTTATTAGGATAGATATAAAATTGCTAAAGTTGACTTCACTTGTTTGCTTTCATTTTCTTTTTTACATTATTAGAATCAAGACAAAGAGTTCACATGGTTACCATACATGTCCTAGCCCTGTTGTTATATTTTATTTAGGTAACGCATGCATTCTTCGAACGTTCACCAAGGCGCGGCCGTGACACGTGCATTGCGACAATACCCGCCGTCGCACGCAACGCCGATAAAGCGCATTCAATATTCTTTCTAGATCGAAGCCGGACCGCCCTAATTTCTATTGTATGGTCAAAGCAAAAACTAATATAAATGAAGTATTTCATAAAAAAATCTTTGAATCACGGTTTGATAACTATTTACTCAGATGAATTGTTCGATTGAGTTAGTTTTGGAACGTTTTTAGTCACAAAAAAAAATCTTGAAGTAATTATTACAATAGTTTGAATATTTTTAATTGGACATTTAAAACTACACACGGATGCAGTTTTATAAAATAATTTTTTTTCTACTTCTTTTTCAAAGCAAAAACTTATTTGTGAGGGAGATTATAAGATTTTCAAATTATGTAAAAATGCCCTAATTTCTAGAAACATCTATCGAATTTGTTCTACATACAAATGTAAAACGCCATAAATTCAAATAATCTTCAAAAGATAAACGATAAAATATCTCTTACGAAAGTTTAAACAGTTTAATTGATCAAATACCTATCAATATAAATGGATACCTAAACTTATAGGTATTAATTTCTTTTACTACTAAAGCAGTCGGCAAAAATGTCCAAGATTACTTACAACCTACCATAGATAAAATTTTATGTGTTCGCATTACTCGAATAATATCAGATTATTATGGCAATAAATTGTACTGAGATTTGAAACACGAAAGTTAGGCTTTGATTTTTATACTGTTACAAAACTCTAAAACTATAACGATATACAATTTCGAAAGAATATAAATTAATTAGAAGACAGGTGTGAAGTGGGAGCAATTCTGCGTTAATAAGTGCGTGCCGGAGGCCTGATCTTAGCTATTTTTTCTTTCCTCCCTGTTCTTATAAGGAAAGGATGAGAGGGGAAGGTTTTGACTTCTCCATTTTGCCGGATTGAGTGACCGCTTGCTCGTTTGTCACCTCGTATTATAATACGAGGTGAAAAACGATAATTATAATATTATTATTATATATTTATTTTTATAAAAATAAATATATAATAATAATATAAAATTTAGCAGACGTGATAACGGTGTCAGACATTGTGACTAAACCTGTAAATATCGATGAAGTGCAACACTATGCGTGAAATCAAGCAATCCACTGGGCCAGGTAGTTGACTAAGGACTGGTCATCCCTAAGCCTTGGGTAGGCTCCTAGCATTTAAGTAGTTATAGTGAGTTGATGATTATGAACATTATTGTTATTTATTCAATAAATTATTTGACGTTATCAATCTTTTTCGATCATACCATTGTGAAACCATTTACAATACTTTATCCTTATTGAAAACGTGTTATAATTGTATCAATGATAAATTTATTAACTTAACGTACCATATATAGAAACTGAAAGGAAAATAAAGTCTAAATTAGTTGAAAAGAAACAACTGCAATTGTACCACATATGAGACAAGGTAAACTAGTTAAGGCAGCAATTCTGTCGAGCACCAAGGATATAGTTTCTTTATACTTTCAAAATATGGCTTATGGGATACCATAACCACACATAATGTGAATTTATTAGGACTGCTAAAAACCAGTTTATTAAACCTATCGTAGTGAGATAATTTTAAAGATGATTCCGATGATGCTGATGCTGATGATGAATCAGAAATTATTCAGCATAACTATTGTATCAGTACTCTAAATTTCTTTACTTATTGGAAACTATTAATAAAAAAAAATCATATTAATAATATTTATCTGAACTAATTATACATAAAACACTCTTATTACATTTTAAACAACGGTTCACACAGCTAATTTGCATAACATAATTTTAATAGTATACAACTCTGACCTTTAGTATGATAGCATCAAATTATGCTATTTACATATTAAAGCGAGGTTGAAAGGTGAATGACATCGAATGGATGAGTCACAAAGTCGCAATTTAACACCCGATGCTGGGCTAACTGCAGACGAGAATAGGCGCCTCACAAACGAGACCAGGCGACTGACAGACGATACTAGTCAATTTATATATTAGTCAAGGTGACTGAGAGACGAGATTTGGTCACCAAATCTCGTAAGTCAAGTAAGTCGCTTACGACTGACAGACGAGACTTGGTGACTGAGAGGCAAGACTAGGCGGCTGACAGACAATACTAGCTGATTAATATATTAATCGAGGTGAGTAACAGATGAGACCACGCGTCTGACAGACGAGACTAGGCATCTAATAGACAAGATTAAACGTTGCAGGCAAAAATCAGAAGACCAATGTAAATTGTAGATTAACCACAATAAGGACAGAGTAAACATTTTGTAAGAGTGGTGTCATAATTGTACTTCAATTACAAATTGCGTGTAATTTTCATCTACACCTATTCATTATACATGTAATTAACATATGAATTTAAAATATCGATTTCTCATCGCGGCAATTAAAAAAAGGAAATGCGTAAAGCGTTTCCTTTACCACTTAAAGAAGAATTAAATATTTATGTTATCTTATGTTTTTTTTTATCTCCTTAAGATTTTGGAAATTAACGCTTAGTAATGTATGAATCAAATTTTGATAAAAACTGTGCAATAATATTACATGCTGAATTGCCATATTATATTGAGTAGGTGTAAATTATTGAGCGTTGAAAATTAATTCGATATACGGTTAATCGTAGCGTGTGCGCGATTAACCATAGTAAAGGTAATTACACAGTCATTGCATGTCACGAACTCTGCACAAATGTCTTATATTAAATCTGCTTTTTAATACACGAAAAATAAGATAGTCCTTATTTTTAATCAGAAAACTAACGAAATATACTATATCGTATATGCTTCCCCACGATAAGTGCAAACATTTCCTACCTGCGATCGATTCATTCGTTGTCCCTTCCCTACAAATAAGATAAGCAATCTTCTGATCATTCTCAAGGATAGAAGGGTTTAGCAGTGAAGATTGCTTAATGAATATCCCACAAATAATCTGTTTCTGGTCAAAGCAATGATATTTATTGAGATAGTATAAAATGTTCAATATTATTCTTATTTTGTAGTTAGTTATATTTTAACGCAGCTACAAAAATTCTATTGCAATAGGGTATTAAAAGAGTTTAGTAAGTAATAATGCGTCCTTGGCACCATTACACAATTTATCAACGTCGTAGTTGCAATGTGCGTACTTTAATTTAATTTATTCCACGCTCTGTTCTCATAGATATCCGTATGAACTTACCTCTGATACCAATTCTCGGTTAAGTTGTAACATATACACGTTAGCATAATGTTGATATCGCTCAAATTTAAAATTACGTTTATCGCACGCTTTTAAAATTAAAAATGCAATAATATAATATTGACGATAGAATAATATAGAAAATCAGGTAAGATAACGAATTTTAATCTATGGTCGTGATGACGATCATGTCCTTCGTGACGTAAACCTTACGTGAACCATACTACATCCCAGAGTGCAAATGGACGTGAATTCCAAATCCAAACTTGTGTGACAAATAAGGTCTTTAAAAAAACAAGGGAAGAAAATACACATGCGATCATAATGATTAAGCTATTACTTGAGTAGCATAACTTATGTAAAAACAACTTATATTACTGTATCAGACAGTATATTCGCTCGTATATTTGCATAAGTTCAAAATTTTATAAAAAATCAAAGTATGTAAATTAAATTAAAAAAACTACGTTAAGGTATGTCCATATTCTTTAGTCTTAGCACTTGGTTCATTTGCGGGCAGCGCCCACTATATGTGTGTACAACAAACATACATAGATTCCAGCGTTTGGCTGCGGTGTCTAGGCGAGCCCTTGTGACTACGTATAGGACATACGGCCCTATATAAACCCAGTTATCTTAGATTTAGGCACACATCAAGCCCTAGTGCTTAGCGTGAAGTACCGTGCCAAATTTTAAAAATAACATCTAACAAAATGATTGCTAAGGTAATTGTCACATAGAACAAATTACAACCAATATTTTTTACTTTATTTTAAAAACTTCAAAGGCATAATACAAACTTTTATAGCACTGGTTAAATTGATTGATAAACGATTCGGTTATCATTGCTAAACTTTCCTAAACAAAAAAAAATATATATACATTTTTAATTATACATAATTATTTCTAATAATAGAGATAAGGGCACTTTCTTAAAGATAATAAAAATGTATCAGTCGCATCTCATATTATTTACTCTTGGTATGACATAAATGAAATTAACCCAGACATGTATTGATTTGTTTTTTTATTGTAATAGGTCATTGTTGCTTGTGCTCTCCTGAGCGTTGTCCGTGGTGGTTTGATCGCGAGTCCCCACGGGGCTGCTATCTCCTCCCAAAGCATAGTGCTGGGCCATGCCGCTCCTGCATACGCCAGAGCTTACGCCGCTCCAGCGATCGCTGCACCAGCCTATGGATTGGGATTGGGTGGATTAGGTGGACTAGGTGGACTAGGTAAGAATATTTTACTTATTGGTAAAAATACTGTGGAATTTTACTGCACATTCTTACAAATTTTACGATTGCCTTCTTACCTACTAATATTATAGATGTGGAAGGTTAGATGAATGTACAGATATTTGTTGTAGTTTAAACACCTAAACGGTTCTCAATTCAATATTCCGTAGATGTAGACCACAGTCTGGAAGAACATTGCTTACTTTTGATCTTTTTAATTCCATGCAAGCAAAAGCAAATGTTTTCATTATGAAGATTTGACAGTGTTACCAGTATTGTAGGTTCATATTAGTTTTTGGTTGTAAGATACATTTTTTATCCAAAAACACAGCGTTAGCCTAACTGTATTTTGATGTTTCTTTAATTAAACTGTTTTTGTTACTGGTGACTTAATGATGAGATATGATTGCAGGGCACGGCGTGGTAGCTCACGCGGCTCCGCTGCTGCACGCGGCCCCCGTCGCCCACGCCGCCCCTGTTGAAATTTATGTAAGTCTATTACACAATACTTATTACGTTAGCACACTGACATAAGTCGTTTAATTATTTGTGAAAAGTAATTGCACAAAATTCAGATATTCAATATGCCATATTGATTTATTAAAATTGTCAGCTTTAATAAAATTTGCGTAATTTGCAACTATCTCAAACATAAACTTATTGATATCTATCATAGTCGAGTTATGTATAGATGCTTTGATGTAGTAATGTATAACTCGAACCGTTAAATAATTTGAGCTTATTTAGCTTGTAATAGTTAATTCTCAGAGAAAGACATCTAATCGTGAAAACTCCCGAAGCTGTTTAAAAATAACGAACGCATGCTTTTATTAAAGTAATTTAAAAAGTGCAAGTGCGCAGATTAAGGTTCATGTTGATGATGTTGATGAATTTAAAATTAAATTTCACTTAGTAAATTATCTGTTTTTGTATCTCAGTCTCACCCTAGCTACCAGTTCAACTATGGAGTAACTGACGCTCACACCGGCGACCAGAAGAACCAGTGGGAGGCCCGCGACGGTGATGTTGTGAAGGGACAATACTCTCTGGTTGAGCCCGACGGCACCGTGCGCACCGTCGACTACACCGCTGATGACCACAATGGGTAAGACATTTAAAAATAATTAAAAACCAATTAGTATTCATTTGTCTAAATATGACCTAGAAAATAATACAATAGGAGAGATTATAGGTAGTAGTATTTACTGTTAAAGATTCTATATCCTGGCAACCATCAGACTAACACATGAATAAGGAGGTGAAATATCTACCAATGGCTCGGAAAACACTTATACTATAGCATTTTTTTTCTGGTCAAATATTGTTAACTAATAAGGTTTTCATCAGCTTTAATTATTAATTCCAGTTTCAACGCAGTGGTACGCAGACAAGGTCACGCTGCACACCCCGCTACCGCGCACGCGGTGGTCGCCGCGCCCGCTTACGGCCATGGCCATCTCCTCGGCTAGAGGGTTCATCAGCTTCTCTAGTAATCACCAACAACGACGATTATTTATTACTTGCGTATATTGTACTTAGGTTAAGCACGGACGGAATGCTACAACGAAACTAGGAGGCTTCGTGGTTATGGTTTAAAAAAGGGCTGCGCATTGGTATGCATTGAAAGCATTGATTTGCTTAGAGGCTATACGTTTCATAAGGTGTATCCATACTGGGACTTCGAAGCCCAAACTTTAAGACATTTTTGCCATCAGTATCTATTTTGAAAGGTATAAACTCTCGCTTTTGTATTATAATTTCTTTTAGTTTGTAAGTTCCGCGCATTCATATTTATACTTTTATTATAAAAGTATTTTAGGTGTATGCATTTTATGAAACGTAAAACATAATGCCTACTATGGTGCTGTTCAAAGACTTCTATTTTTGCTGCTAAAACGAATGTAAATTAATATATTGTTACTTTCATAATTATAATCTTTTATTAAACTCCCTTGAAATATGACATGAAATAAGTGATCACGAGTCAAAGCTTATATTTATCATCTAAGATACGATTCGTAGTGACAAGCATAGTTAATTAACTTATACAATAAAATTGGCAGGCAAAGAAAAGTTATCACTTGTCAATTAACTATTCATATTAGGACTTACAGATTCAGGGCAATTTAAATTCCTTATTCCACTTCTTAATAGAAATAATTCTGATCAACATTGTTAAGAAAATGAAAACCATTTTTATAAAATTATGCTTTTAATTTACGATCAAGAAATAATTTAAATTCATTAACTTACACATCTAATAACAAAGTAAAGATCAAACACAATTAAATTAAATAGTAAATAAACAATTGGATTAATTTTCATGATGGCTCTCGATCTGGACGTGGTGGTTAGGCGCTGAGTGCTTCACTACAGCATTGAATCTGAAATACAATTATTGCAAAGTTATATTTTGTCTCATAGGCTTAATCATTATAATTGAGACTATAATTTATTTAAATTACGTACCCGTGATGTTTGTCAGAGCTGTATTCAACAGTTCTGATCGAACCATCGGCCTCCTGCAGCGAGTACACTCCCTTCACATTATCACCATCACGGATCTCGTGCTGGAACTTATTGTCCCCGGTGTGTGGGTCTTCTACTTTGTATTCATACTGGTACTTCGGGTAAGCCTAAAAACATAAGATCATTTATTACAACGTATCGGAATTTTACCAATTTACATAACCCTATTCGAATGCTGCAAATGATCTAGTTCGTGATTTAAATGGATAAAGTGTGATGCAAATGAAATAGTAGAAAGTGAGTGTAAATCAGGAGCCGGACATCCGTGAAAGAATTAACGATTTGTATTAGACACACACGAGCAATGAACTTACGTAATAGTCGACGAGCTCTTCATGAGAGTCGTGGCTTGGGGCTTCAGGGTGATGGTAGACAGGTGATTGGTGGACCTTGGGGGCATAGTGGTGAGGTGCGGGTTCATGAGCCTGAACGTAATGAGTCGGAGGCTCGTGACGCACTGGGGCAGGTAAAGCATGCAGCTGATGACGCACTGCAGGGTAATGAACTGTTTGTACAGTTGGCTGATGCGGCGTTGGCTGATGAGCGCTGACGTGTTCATGGCTTTGGAAATATTGTTTATAGTTCACTGGTTCCGGTGTGTACTCTGAGTAACTCTCCTGAGATTCCTGAGTGGGTTGCGGTTGGTGATGCACGATGCTCTGGGATGATATCGCGTGTCCATTTTCGTGGCGGTATTGGTTCTCAACCGGAGGTTGGCTTTCTTCCTCGTGAATTGGCGCCGGTTCCTGGTGGTAGACGTAAGGACGTTCGGTTTGGTACTTGTATTCCTTTGGCTGCTCGTGCTGAACTATCGGCTTGATCTTGTATTTGTACTCCTGACAGGATATAGCCGATATGGCCACGGTGAACAGTAAAATCTGAAATTAAAACGGATGTATAAGTATTTAAGCAAATAATGTTTTTAAGGATATGTTTTTTTTTTATAAATAAGGAACACAAACTTTAGCTAACATGTTGATCCTTCTTCTTTGACTTCCGCAGTGAAACTGATGAATTAGCATAGGCTTAATGCCCAATATATACCGGAGACGTTACGAGAGAGAAATGTATCAATCTGCCATCGCTCGGGGCGTCAACTTGTAACCCGCGGCACGCATACAATTCTCGTGACGTAATTTATGTAACCAATGTGAAGGTTGTTGCTATTCTAGTTCAATTTTGTCTTGTTAATAATGTTTAGATATCATATAATTATTTTATGATCTATACATATTAAAAATTTCATCGATTACATTTTTCAAATGATTATACGAAGTTAAGTGAAGTTTCATAACTTGTTTAGATGAAACCTGAAAACTATTATCCAGTAATGTAAATTTGATTGTTCTATACCTTATTAGGGATTAGGGTTTAGAGGAGAAAAATTATTAACATCACTGTAGTCTTTACTTCTGAAAAGTATTTTGAGTGTGAATTAATTATTTGTTTCAAGCATACTTAAAATATTTTATAAATAGAACAATTAAAATTTTTCATGAAGACTCGTCTATAACATTTCGTATTCTAGAGGAGTAAGTGCGTTTTCTCTATATTTGCACTTTTTTAGAAAATTGTAGAGCTGAATGTTTTCAGAATATTAAATCGAAAAATTCGGCCCATTAAGCTAATTTAAAGATAAGATCTCTTCGATGTCTTATTTTAAAATTCAACAAGCATTTAACCTCAGTAATTACTTGTACTTATTGCACGCTAGCTTACAATTTTTGTATTAAAAATAACAATGTATTTCTAAAGATTTTTATTATGATTAATCAGAATATGGATGTCAAATACATCCATATTCTGAAACAAGACGTTCTTTACTACTTAAGGTCAACTTTTACGTTTTTACTATGAGTCATTGTATTCTATGTACATTTTAATACAGCACTTTATCATTATTAGATAACGCTACCCTTTTTTATAGTTGCAAAGGAAACAACGGTTTACTTTGTAGGTAAAACGATTTCTAACACGTAATTGATTCCGTTTTATGTTTCGTATTAGCATTTAAATTTTATGCAGATGTCTTTACGTCCGACTAAACATTTTAGATACGGACTGATTTCAAAATGAGCAACTTATTTGCATTGATTGATGAACGACGATGCGATTTTAACAAACTACTCCATATATTAAAAAAATATTAATAGAGAACTTGATACAGACAATCAATTGTTTCTAGTGTGAATTACTACGAATGTGGTTTTCTAGGTTTTTCTTGTTATTTTTTTAAAGGTCATTTTATTTTAAAAAAATAATGTCATCTTTTAGAAATCATCTAGGTACTCTTTTATGTATAAATATTAAATTAAATCAAACTCCTAATGTATAAAATAGACAGTTAATTTAAAACTTGTTCGTTTCCGACATTTGAAAGTAACCTTAATGCAATGTCAATGCTAGCTTAGTTTTTTATCAATTATTCGTGTGAAGCGTCAGCTGGCACGGTTTCGGCAAGCCATGAACCACATAATTTTTTTCTACGGTTACAAAATCATTTCTATTTTAATAATACTAATAAAGTTGTCTTATTTTAAACTAACTGTTGCCCTCGACTTCAGCCATGCCATATTAAGATAAAGAAGCAGTCTATAATATGCCCGTCTATGTCAGCTACCCTTAAGTCTGGTCGAAATCGGCCCAGCAGTTCCGGAGATTACCTGGAATGCGGCTTGCGGACAGACAGACAGCCAAAAAATTTTGAGCAACGCAAATAGATCATCTTCCCGAAATCTGGAATTTTTCTTTTATTATTACAAACAGACACACGAATTTTATCATACGTATAGATAACCAATGCATCAAATATTTAATGATTGGTTAGATATCAAGTAGAGCCTGCTAGGTTAAGTTGAATGCAATTTAATGTGTAATTATGGCTTTATTGTTGTCTATTAACATTCCAACCACTGTTTTTACTCCTTTCATGTTTTCGTCTTACGGTTTTATTTTATTTTTTGTCACACAAATTGGTAACAATTCCTTGGAAGTCCATTTTTAACAACAAAGAGAAGCCAAATCTCATTCAAACTTTTACGATAAAACACATGAGATCTTGATATTCAAACAATAATAATCCAATAAGTAATCTACTTTTGTGCAATTTTGTATTGTAATTAATTAGTCTTAATTATTAATAGTTAATTTTTGCTTTTTCTCGTTTGTATTTTCTGTAAAATGTATTTATTATGTTGTTTTTGAGCTGATCAAAGTTATTATTATTGCTTAACGCCATTCGATGGATTCAAATTCATAACATTTTCGACATTATGTGCTACATAATACTGACCTATAGAGACTATGTTCCGGACATTACCGTAGTAGTATAACATAAAATATGTAAAAATTCATACATAACAATTTATAAATCAATTCTAGGAAATGTTCACGTCAACAGCGAGGAAGTTGTAAACAGTATACTTACGAAACTTATTATGTACGCAACCGGTTATGGGTTTTGAGTTTATAAGTAAAAATACTTTATTTACTCGTAAAATGTTTTCGTCAAAACAAAATTGATGACACATTTTTTTTAATAAAACAAAATTAATTAATGTCTATTAGTTATTAATATCAATTGGGTTAAATTTTAATCAATGCAATTTTTAACAGTTTAAAATGTTTGTCGTGATTTTTTTTTTAATTTGCGAAAACAGCGAAGTGATCGATTCTTATAGACATCTGCATTTGCACGTATATTCTGCTTAGCTGTAATCGATAGAGGATGGGTCGCGAACAAAAGTTATATTTCCTCTGCGTCCTCTCCTCTGCCTAATGAAAATTGCTGAATAAGAAGCGTAATGTTAGAGATTTAAGGAATTTCATAAAATAGTTAATAGCGTGATCTTTACAAGTATTCTATTAGCGATTTCTATGCACTATTTACAGTAACTGCATTGAAGGATAATAGATAATAATCGTTCTTGTAACCGAAAACTACGAGATCCGCTTTTAATACCAGTTTCAGTACAAACATAATTATGCTTAATCATACATAAATATCGTATATCTTTTCAGGACATGATACTAATTTTTTTGTTATTTGAAGTGTGTTATTTGATGTTGATATTATTTTAACCAATTATAATTAGGATAAAGTACATTATAAATAACTATAGCCAGGGACAGATTATTTTGTCTGTCTGAGTGTATACAAATTTATGACATATATATGGTATTTTAGAACCCAGATGACACAACTGACTCCACGTGCTATGGATGATTTTATTGTATGTCATTTCTATAATTTTAACTATGTTTCCGTTTTATTATTCTCCTTATACGAATACCGTTAGGAACTCGGTCAACAAATTCATCGTTGATATCCTAAATGTTCAATCGCGTAACGGTATTACAAATCATGAATGGGTTTCAACAAAATTTACGTTGCACTTTTTTCGTGTAGATTCGTCACATTAGTGATTCCACTTTATGAAATAATTACCAATACAGCACATTATAAATGATGTTAAACGGCGATCATACACCACTTATAGTGAAATCGCTTACCTTGGTTAGCTACCCTTATTGCTAATATAAAAGCATATGTCTATTGATTTTTATCATCAGTTAGCATTCAGCAAGTGTATTACACAATATTAAAACAAATAATTTAATAAAAATGATTTCAAAGGTATTTATTGAAATTAGAAGTGTATATATAAAATAATTTGAAGTGTGATTTTTACAACTAAGGGATTTTAAGTGTTGTAATTCGATCTTGTACCGTGTCGTTACGTCACTGCCGAATACCGAAAATGATAAACCAGGGATCTAAGATCTATTGAGTGCCAGTATTTGTAACATGAATATCAAAATTCTTGTGCTATCTAAGTACAGATATAAAAGGAGACATTTGATGACAATATAAATGTTTATTGGAATGATTTTCATGTTTTGGAAGTTCTTTTGTTATATTTAGATATACCTGAATACAATATGATTTATAATTTTTATATTTTAAATCGATTCTATTAAATACATAAGTGTCAGTAAATTAGTAAATTAATTGTCATAAGTGATAATTTACCAAAAACATTCACTTACAAACTAAATAGTAAATATTTCTTTGAAAAATTATTGATATTCCAATTATTTTTTTTACAATCCAGGTCCTGTGTCTCATTGTGCTCGTCGCTTTCGTAATGTCAGAAGATCACGGACCGCCGTACTCCTCTCAACATTTCATTCGTGAAGACGGACCTGCGGAAAAAGTTCTTCTAAAAGGGGACGACGAACATGAACATTACATCGATTATTATGTAAGATACATATTTTCTAGTAATTTAAAAAAGCTAAATTAATATCGATTAATTACGTCTGATGTCCTGAGTAGACATTCCTTAATTTTATGGTGGCAGTTCTACATATTTAAATTTATTGTCTACTTTCCTAATTTCATTAATCATGTCATCTAACGTTGTCCTAATTTGTCAGTGTTACCATAAATACGTACTATGAAATCAAGAACTGCCACTATAGTCTAAAATCACCTAGTGTAATAAATAATGTTAGCCACTGAATCTTATGTTGTTCTTGAAAAATTTCACTAATTTTTGTGTATTGATAAATCATTTCAGACACATCCAAAGTTCAAGTTCGAATACAAAGTGAACGATCACTACACTGGAGATATGAAGTCCCAAGAAGAGGAACGCGAGGGTGACAAAGTCAAGGGTGTTTACTCTCTACATGAACCTGACGGCTCTGTCAGGATTGTTGAGTATTACGCTGATGACGAGTCCGGGTATGTTTTATTTATTAAAAACTAACTCTGCCCCATTTACAATTGAATTGATAGACACGTAAAGAAGTATTTTATTTTTAATCAAACGTAAATTTAATTACCAAGAACAGAGCCGTCTGTTACTATAATATTTCAAAGTTCAATAAAACTAACTTAATAATTAGCAATAAAATCATTTCGATAATCACATTATCTTTAACAATCGGATAGTATGAAAAATGTGCTTGTGGTAGACGCGATAAAGTATGCAAAGCAATTTTTTACTAAAACCTCATTTCTTTTTTCAGTTTCCATGCGAATGTGAAACATGAAACTCATCACATCAAACATGAACACGAACATAAACAAGAACATGGACAAGAACAAGAACAAGGACAAGAACAAGGACAGGAACAAGAACAAGAACAAGGACAAGAACAAGAAAATAATGAAGAAGAAGGCAACGGCGAAGAATAACTGTGATAAACATTTTAGATTTACGATTTCTCTTATATACCTAGTCTACATTTCAATTGAGACAATTCGTGATTTCTTTCCAAGAAAGAAATTTATCGTTAAATGAATTGTTCAAGTTCTGTTTTAATTTAAATACACTGTTTTTATATATTACGAAATAAATTATTGTCAAGTATTACTGTGTTTCAAATATAATTCGAATTCGCAAATAGTCTTATGGTTAAGGATGACGAAATATTGTAATAAGATCTGTAAGTAGAAATTTCAAAGACAAAATATTTTTATAAAAGTATATATGACAGACATCTGTACCAAATAATAATTGGGAAAATGTGCGTTAATTAATTTGGTCACAAACAAAACAACATGAACAATACTGAATTTTGAACAAGGTCAAAAATTTAAGAAGGTCTTTAAGAACCTGGTCAAAGTGCAATAAATTGTCTCCAAAAAAAATAATCTAATGGTTTCCTTAACATACGAAGACATGTTTTGTAAAGGTTTTTAAATAGATATGTTCTTTATATGACTATGTTGAGAAAAAAATATTCAAGAGCAATACTTTGTTCTTACAATTTCAGTGCTTCTTTAACACGTGTTAGTCACCCTCTTAGAGATTATGGATAACTATTACGACATATGCATTGTTTGTAAAGTTATTGTGTGAAATGTAATAATTGTTATATAATAATAGTTCTTATTTAGAAAGCGAGTTCAGCAACGTGAACAGGCCTCATTGGCATATTATCAAACGTTCAATTAACTTTAGGTCTTTGTGTCTTTTTACTGCGCAAGATCTCGATTACTTGTAATTACTATTTACGTGGCTACCACTTGCATTGACGGATGTAGGAGCTATGTCTATCGCTTTGACGAAATTAGTTGCAAAAACACTACGCACACCAATGTCGATGTTGAATAATATTCAACAATAAGTATACAGTGAAATCAATATTACCTTGGCTCGTTACTTTACTTATCAATATAAAAGAGGTAACTCGTTGACAATACGTATCAGTTAAGATCAGATCTTAGTAACATTAGCATTAGAAACATCTAGAAGTGTCTAAAAATGATCTCTAAGGTAGTTGGTGTGTCAGTGATTGTTTAAGTGTTGACGAAGTGCGAAATTTAATAGGATGTGAACTGAATTTGCAGGTTTTGTGCATCGCGGCCCTTGCAGCTGTAGTGGTTGCTTACCACGACAATGGTCATGGGCACGGACATGCTTTCTCATCGCAGCACATCTCTCGTCACGACGGACCCGCTGAAGTGGTGCATGTACAAGGCCACGATGGCAAAGGGCATGGACACGATGGTGGTCACGGACACGGATCTATTGACTACTATGTACGAAACCATATAATTAATAATTATTGACTCCTCTATAAAACTTTTAAGTATTAGCTGAATACTAATTGGAAATGTTTTAGTCTCAAAGAATTTATTTCGTTCACTGTTATTATTGCATTCGGACTTTATTCAATATCTTTTTTGTTTCTGTCCTTATTCCATTAAATGAGATCTTATTTATCTATCTTTCTTGTTTTATGTCCAAACTAATGTAACTATTTAAATTTGATCTTAAACATTTCCAGGCGCACCCTAAATACGAGTTTGACTACAAAGTAGAGGACCCTCATACCGGTGACAAGAAGCACCAACACGAGTACAGAGATGGTGATGTGGTGAAGGGCGTGTACAGCCTGCACGAGCCCGACGGCTCTATCAGAGTTGTTGAGTACCACGGCGACAAGCACAGCGGGTAAATACATTTTTGCATTTGTACTCTAGTGTTGTGAATATCCATGAACGTCGATTTTCACTTCGTTGTTCTTGATCCTCTTTTTTCCTCTTATCTTACAAAAACACTAGAGACATATCGAATTAACGGTTCCTAAATTATTTTCCTTATAGGAAGTTCTTTTCCCCACAACAATGGTTAGTGTACTATTCGTCCCTTTAAAGCGTTATTTGAATGTTTTATAAATACCTACATGCATGCTTTTTTTTTTCCTTTTTCCAGTTTCCATGCCGACGTGAAGCACAGCACTCACCATATTGTGCCTAAACACGAGCATCACTAAATGAATTCGTCCAATGACACGTTGTACATAAATGTTGATAATTTTTGTTTATACTGTTGTTGTCTGTTTCTTGTTGAATAATGTATGAAAGAACTATTCCGTTTTTTATCGTTTTGTTACAATTTTAGTACAAATAAAATGTTGTTTATATTCTTCTTCTTTTTTCTTTTTAATTTTATAACAATTCAACCTTTAAAAATATTTTCACGTGCAGTTATCTGAATGTTCTAATTAATCTTAAATATCAAACATTATTGTTTGTACTGATGAAAGATTTGATTGAGTTATAGAGTATCACACACAAACAAAAGATTTTACTAGGTCGCAATTTTGTTTGTCGTATTATGACTCCCTTAAAGTTCCAAAAATGTGCATATACCTTTAAGTAATATAAAAAAACACACATATACACTTTTCATTGGCTAAAATGAGCGCCTACGCTATTTTAAGCAGCAAACATGGTCAAACATTCGATATTTTGCACAATATCTATGATTCTCTGCTCAAAATTTAACAATATCCAAAATATCTAGATGTACCACTAAAAATTTCAATACTTCATATTGCATAATTACAATTACACTTGTTAAAGTGACAAATTAAGGCTGAATTAAATAATCAACCGGTTATCTGATATGTTACGGTGTAAAAAAATGTCTTTAATGCAGGTATAAAAAGCGGATTATTTTTAATATGTTATCATTTCACTTCCACAATTCCTTGCAACTTGAACATTAACAATCAAACAATGTTTATCAAGGTAAATAAAATGTTTCTCGGTATTTATTTAATAAATAATTGAAAAAATATTTATACGTTCAATGTTTAGTGCAATGGTAAAAAAGAAGTCATCTATTATTTTTACTTATTTCTTATCATCATTCCTAATAAACTCTAAGCAGGATATATTTTACGACAATAGACGAATATCGGGAATCGAATCTACGATCGTAATGTCGGTTATATTGTAATGTATTCTATCATTAGATTATTGGAACTTTGAATTGAATAAAAGTATGTTTGTTATATTAGGTGATCGCTGCCGCTACCGTCCTCGCTTTGGCATCTGGACAGCACAATGGCTATGGATACGGTCACGGCCACGCGCAGTCTTCACAAAGCATTGTACTGCACCAGAACCACGGACAGATCCACAGAGCGCCCGCTGTGGTTCTGCAACACCAGCCCTCTCACTATACTGGACATTATGACAACCACCAGGACTACTATGTATGTCTTAGTTTATTTACTATTTGATATCGCCTACGACTCCTTGCTCTATCAGAATGTTTTCTACAACTATGTCAAATTTCAGCGAGATCCGTTGAGCCGTATTGGTATCAATCCATCCAAATCTTAAGTTTCGCTCTCTAACATTATTATAGAAATATCAACCATAACGGGTATGATTTACTAGAAGTCCATTTTTCATGCGATTGTGTATGGTCTTGGCTATTTTAATTTCAGATGATTTATGCTAAGAAGTCGAAATACCTAGACCAGACGTCCATGATCGCTTTATCCTCATCGATCAATATTAGAATCAGCAAGTTTTAACAAGATTCAGAAAAATCCTTATAATCGAGTGCCTTATTGCCTCCTGATATAACACTTAAAGTACTGTTGGTCGTTAATCTGTTTATAAATGTTTTCTGTTTTTTTTAGGCGGCACCTCACTACGCCTTCGAGTACTCGGTAGCTGACCACCACACCGGTGACATCAAGTCCCAGCACGAGACACGCGAAGGCGATGTGGTGCAGGGAGCTTACAGCCTGCACGAGTCTGATGGTACAGTCAGGACTGTGCAGTATACCGCTGACGCGCATAATGGGTAAGAATTTAATATCTTCTAAACATCTCAAATATCATCATCACCAGCTCACTATACGTCGCCACTAAAGGGCCCGGGCCTACCCTTAGTAAGGGATGACTAGGCTATAGTCAACCACACTGGCCAAGTGCTGGTTAGTTCGCGTTAACGAAAAAATATCACAAATCTGAATAAACGACAAAACTTGAATTACGGAATTGAACCCTCGATCACATGTGGTCATCTTTAGTTATTAGGGTATTGGAAGTTCAAATTATTGATATGACGATTAAATATTTTTATTTAATTCAATTAATAATAGTAAACATTATTATTTACAGATTTAACGCCGTTGTACACCGTGAGGGTCATGCTGCTCATGCCGTACCAGTGCAACGACACTATTAATCATAGAATTGTTCCTAATTTATAATATCTTGTAATGTTTTAGTGTAATAATCAATTAATAAAAATGTTAAGCATTTAATCTGTCTATATTTTTTTGTTATTATTCTTATAAAACATAATTTTCTATAAAATTTCCTATAGAACATGGATTTGCGCTAAGAGTATTGTACCAATAACCAGATGATCATTAAATTCTTCTTTTTCCTTAATGAATGTAACACAAAACAATACAATCAAAATACATTTACATAAATGTATAAAAATACATTTACCTAAGCCAGATTTCAAAGTGAATGTAGTGGCAGCCCTTTAAAAGCCTATGAAGAAGAAGGCAGGGTTTAAAATTTAGCAAACATTTGATTTACTATAAAATGAATACATAAGAATTACAGACGTAACCGTTTTTTTTCTCATTAAATCTATGTAATATTATGTCAGGTATAAGAAACTTAAATCGTATTACGAAAATGAACAAGAGGCTTGTAATACTTACATTGTGAGGTAAAAATGAACATTATGTTATATATAACACTAGCTGGTGCTCGCGACTTGGCCCGCGTATAATTAAAAAAATAGTAAAAATACAGCCTATTTCACTCACTGATAGCATGCATAGCTAACATAACGGCCCAGTATCCAAAATTACAAATATTTCCTCTTTATAACATAATTATAGATATAGATTATGTTTGTTTGTAAAAATGTTTAAATCATTATTTTATTTATTTATTTAGTTATATGTAACTCTAAAAAGAGATCAAAAATGAAGTAACTTAGCTTAGAAATTCGGTGACGGCCACGCAGGTTTCTATCTGAAAATCTGCTTAAAACACAAAGTGAACAAATTAAGATGAGATGAAAATGCATAACAAATGCTACCTAGCGATTATTCTTGAAATTATTGATAAGTTAACAGTGGTAGTGTCCGCTTTAAAATCTTAGCACGAATGTGCCGGCACGCCCGGTGTACCACGACCACACAGAAGACAGGCGGAATCAAAGTAATAATAATTGTACAATATAGACATAACAGTTACAATAAGGTAGGTTTACTATTTTCAAGGAATTATTTCGTTACTTTTTTGTGTACTGTTTTTTTTCAGAATATTTTGTTTTTAGTGTATTTTGTTTGAAAGTCGGTTTTGTTTTTTCTTATTAAAAGTTTTTAATGAGTTGCAGGATTTTGCATATCACCTCCCAGTTAAGAACAAAATAGTCTGTCTTTTTTGACCGACTTCCCAAAAGAAGGAGGTATTCAATTCGACGGTATATTTTTTTTTTTTTTTTATGTGTGTTACG